TGCAGAGAACAATTCCGTTTATGAAAAAACACGGTAAATTGCAAATTTGCAGAACTTAATTACGTACAAATGTTATAATAAAATCTTTTTCTTCACTCGGCTCTTTTACATCGCCCTTGTCAAAAGTAAATTTTAATTCCGCAATTACGAGATGCATCAATGTTTGTGACAAGCACACCACTTATTAAATTAACTCCGCGCGCACTGCCTGCCGAAAACGGACAAAATGTTCTTTTGCAACGTTATTACGAAAATTATTTGACAATCAATTATATAAATAACTTTGCAAAGTACAAGCTTAAAGAGCAGACGCTACCGCAGTGTAACGTCAAATGTTTTTTTCTGCGAAGTTACAAAATAACTCGCACCGTGAGAAAAAAGGCGCTTCCTCCGCTTTCCTCCGCACAACGGAATAACGCTCGGCTTGATGCTACGTAATTATAATCAACGATGTAAAAAGAGGTAGTTGAATGTTGCGCGGCGAGCGATACAAAGGAAAGGAAAGTGACGCACATGGCGAATCAAAAGTGTTCGCGATTGTCGTCGTGAAAGACGAATTGTAGAGGTGATCTTTGTAAATGCCTTCTGGTAAATGCGTTTTTAATTTCTTTAGATTTGTCGCTGGCGTGTCTTTTACGCTTCGCAAATTTCAAATAAAACAAAGTCGCCTTTCTTCCTGTTCTTTGAGTCAGAATCGACTCTCGCGTCGTTCCGCGAACTAGATTTTTAATGAAAATTAACAATGAATTATGGAATGAAATAAAAGGAGAAATTACTGTTATGTATTTTCGTCTATATGCGCCGTGAAATCCGAGACGAGCAAATTAAGGACGCCGTAATGATTATTGGTGTTTCCTTAATTTTACAATCGTTTTTGCCATTAAGACAGTAATCGGGTCGCCGATTTCCGCCCATTTCTTTGAGTCAATTTCCAAGATTTTCTCATGACCGACATTTCGGGTCGTACTCAATGCACCGTTTAATAGCACTCGTAGACAGTGCCGAATGCATATTGCAGCGAGTGCTTGCAGAATGGTTGCGCGTTAAATTGCTGCGGCAACGCATCCGGTGGTGATGTTCCGTGATTTCAGGGATGATCGCGATAATATCATTTCGCATTTATCGCCGTATCGTACCGAGAGGGAAAGATTGCGCAATGCCGCCGTCGTATCGAATTATATTCTTTTCCACATTCGCATATGGAATGTGAAAGCGCGGTGGAAGACTGCAGCGAAATGTATCCGTATTCGTTTCACGATTTTAATTTTCTTTCGACTCAAAATGTGGCTTTGCGTCGCCGAAATAAATGTGGTTTCCTCGTAACTTGTAATGGCCAGCTGCTGCTTGACCCGCTTCTAAACTGCAGAAAAAAGATTAACCCGGCCCGCGTCCAAAAGACTTACTTTCATTATTATTTAAAATTTTATTTATAAAAAAATGAGAAGTCATGCGTATATTGCGCACGAGAATGTACTCGTCATAGAAATAAAGTGACAATTGTAAAATTGAGTGCGCCGTTAAATTCTCGGTGGTTAAAACGGTAGTCGCAAGTTAAACAAAGACATTAAAGAGAGACGTTATTGAAACGTGTGACAGTGGTAATATTAATCGAACGGTGTGCAGACAGTTGAGCAAGTGCACTTCGAATTACTCTGTCGTTACGAAGGTGTAGTTAACGCTGTAATATCACATTACAGTTTGAGATAATCTCCATTTCAGAATATACTTACTTCCCGACTTCAGTGCTTTCGTGTCCCAGTTTTCGAGAAATTCAGGTTCGTTAATTTTGAGAAAGAAGTGCATGGTTTAGACTGGGTGGGTCTCTTCCTGGATATATTTTAAGACACAATATGCATATTATTAATATTAAACGTTACCACAGTAGCCAAAAAATTTTTAATTTTTTTCTAGAATTAGTGAAATTATATACACAATATAACAGAATTAATATTGTTTAATCACCTTCTAAAAGAAATAAGGAAATTAATTGAACATATTGAAAAATTTATGTAAATTTTAATAAGAATATTTCATAAGAATAATTTTCACATGAATATCAAGTGATGCGGCAGCGACAGTAACTGCTTATTCAATCATATTGCAGATTCACAATGCTTTAAATAAATCTGCATTTCTTTAACAAACTCAATATCGATAAATATTATTGTTATAAATCGTTATCTATCGCGTACAATGTTGCTATTTGTATAAATAATGCCGAGCTTTTTAGTACATTACATAATAAGCTTATCAATTTAATTTTTTATTACCTCTTTACACGACTTATAAGAAAAGTGAATACTTCTGTACACGGCAAATAAGAAAAGTGAATACTTGATGAAGTTAACCCTCTTGCACTTTCGAACATCAACTTTGTGGAAAGTGTGGTCGAGAAACTTGCCGAACTTACTCTGTTATTGTATTTGCGCAAATAATTGGCGTTGCTTCTCTTGATTGGCATGCAAAGTTGGTACATACATTTGAACCGGCGTGTTTACGAACGATTTAATACGTAAGATACACTTGTGATCTATCTGGGATCTTCTGATTACAGACCTATTTTTTATTCCTATTGCGACATATTATTATTAAAAGAATCAATGCGCGCGCGAAATAATGAAATGTTATTGATGTAATAGAAAATCACGCTAATTATGAGACATTGTTCAACATTATTAATTCTGATTTTAATCTTCTTGAATCGGTAAACAATTAGTTTTACTTTTACCATTTTGCTCTTAAAATACAGCGTTCTAAGATGCGATCGATCGGCAACAAAAACTGCATCAATTAAAACTGCACAAAGTTTCGATTATTAACTGCTCTATAATCGGCCAAATCGTTTAAAGAATTGATTTATGGCCAGTGCCGCCAACATCGTTTAACTTTAACCGTAGTTTAGGTGACTCCTCGTCTCTTTCTGTTTTTACAAAGAGGAGAAGTTCCAGTCGAGCTAAAGTTAAAGTTAAACGACGACGTTGATAATGATGTTTCTGGTTTTATCTCTCCAGTCAATTAAGAAACGCGACAGTCGCCGTCTTCATAAAAAAAATTTGTATTATAAAATCCTTTCTAAATAATCGGGTCTAGAATTCAGAAGTTCTTCGCATAATTTCATATGTCGTGCAGAAAACATTTTTAGCGTATAAATTATGTATGTCTTTTTTTTTTTTAGACAACAATCTGTTATTTCTGTGTTTATACGCGAAGCGTATCTCACTCTTTATGAAAATGTAAATGGGTACATTTCTCGTGGAACACACGGGTAGTAGGTATGCATGTACGCAACTATGGTAAATTGTTACGTTGGCCTGAGTAACAATTTCTGAAGTTACACAGCGCTGCGTTGGTTTGCGACAGCAAACCACCGACGAATTTATAGCTATAAAACTCGTATCGACGTATTCGATACCCTTTTTAGCCGAACAATTTATCAGTGCGAACGTACGCGAAGAAAGTACCACAATGACGAATAACACGCATTTTTTAGGCCAATACTATAGAAATATCTAAAATAACACGTCATTTTACTGTATTGCTCGACGTGACGCAGTAGAAATTGGACGTAATACATAGTAATGCCGAAAGATTTTTGAGAGAAACGTCAGAAACAAAAATTATCGGCCAAGACTTTACACGTCGCGGAAAATGTTGCGCGCTCATAACATCCAAGCAAACCCCCAATTTTCCACGTCGCTAAGTTTCGATACAAAAGTACCTAACAAAAGAATCGCGCGCAATATATTCCGGAAAGTTTACAGCATACACACACATGTTATTCTGCGCAGTATATTGATGAGATTAAAGCTATCGAAAGTTACATTAAAAAGCTCGATTTTATTAATAAGATTTGCGGCCAAATTTTTAGAATTTAATGGAGATGTTCAAACGCACGCGAATAAAGTAAAAATAACTTCAAATTTGTTGAAAAAATCAAAATTATTTTAAATAATTTGAATTATATTAATTTATTATACATATTGTGTCTTTTCCGATCATTCACAGTATACAACCATAATTATTATTATTGTATAAATTACATGGCAAACGACTGGAAAATTATGTTACAAGCTCGATTACACTGGAAAACAAGATAACAGAGCTTGCGCATTATTATATGTTATGTTTTCAATTTATACTATTATTGCAAATCCGGATATACAGTGTCTCGTTAATCTATTTTTAATTTTCCACGTGATTATTCGCGAATGTAATAATTACTAAAAAAAGAAATATTTTAAACTGAAGTTAATTTGTTTCGAGAGTAACTTTGATTTAAAGTGTTTTCCTGAATAGTTTCAGAGATAACGAGTGGGAAAAGGTTAAAGCGGGACACTCCATATACATTTTGCATTTAATTTCACAAATTTCGTAATATTTTCGCCCAATAATAAGTTACCGTAATCATTCTTTAAATGTTATTGAATTTATGATGGAGCTAATAAGCGGAAGACGAAAAGGAAATTTTATTTGCCCGAGGAAATGTACCAATTTAATCGAGCGATATAATAACGAGGTAGAAGGACATCCAGCATTGTGTAATAAGCGATACTGCAGTTGCATTTATGGATATTCGATAAAACATATCTCTCTTATCTTGGTGATTTTTCAAAGTTCATTGGTTTTCTCTTCGGGCAAATTATTCCCGGGACGACGATGTAACGATAAGAAATAAGGGGGAAAGCTGAGTATATTTTTGGTAAAGGATGAGATTTATCACATTAGATAACGACCCATTATCGGTAAAATAAAACTGATAGCCTCACAAGATGTTATCTTTTAGTCGTTAGACTATCATAATATTTACTTTTGAGACATATACAAAAATTTTCCTTTTTTGCTTATTTCTTTTCCTGATCATTATCAATATTTACAACGTGATAATCCATGTTAATAGACGCCAAGAAAATAAATAAGGGAAAAAAGGTAAAATAAAATTCGCATTAAATTAATTTTTCCCTTAGAAATATTAATTGCATGACATTAAATTTAATTTTCAGGAAAAGAACTCCGAACTGCGAGAAAGAAATTATACGAAGATCCGTGATTACGAACCAAGGAATTATTTCTACGATACTAAAGCGCCGCACGGACCAGTGGTAAGTGTCATAAATTTTGGAGGACGATCACGAACCGTTCTTTTAACGAGAGAAAAAGAAAAATCCGTCGGTTTCAAGAAAAAAGATTGTTTCTCCTCAAAATGTTTCTTTAGTATTCTGTCAAAGACGTGCGCATTTTTCTCTGCGGGAATCGTCGAGTGGTTTGCGTGGTGCTATTAAATATATTAACGTGATTCCCGGTATCATTATCAATTTGCGATAATAACGTTGCAATAAAGGGACGAGTGAAATATCTCGGCGAGAACAATTAAATTAATTTGTCGATGCTGATTGTGTAACGTGATTCGCGAATGAGGCCAAAGAAGGAAAAATTCTATTTATCTTCCACACATAATACCGTTGTACAATACGGCTAGTTAAACCGTCGCCATACTTTTTCTCGTCGTCATCCACCGACAAACGATTTCTCACGAAATCATTATCCCATATTAATCGCATACAAAGGACTGCGGTATTGTATTACAAATCAGATAACATCATGATAATCGAAAGCGCATTGAAAATGCGAAACACAAACACGATGGATAAATATTTTTTTTATTTGCTCGCTTTGCTATGATATATTGGTTATTTTGGAATAAAATGAAATTGTTTGTTGAATCAACAAAAATTAACAATTTCCGTAGAATCAATAAAAATCGTTAACTGTTTATGTAATAGCATATAGTTATAGCAGAATAATTTCGAATCACTATAACAGAGCGTCATTCTCAGTGATTCTGTTTTCTAACAGAATTCCCAGTAATTCTGTTTTCTAACAGAATATAATGTTTAATTTGAAATGTATAAGTACTCTGTCTTGCCTATATATGACAGCAGAACTTTCTGTTTAATGACAACGAATGTACTTGTTCCCCCTCTTTTCCTCCTGCGCAAACCTTGCCGCACATTAGAGGTTAATACTACTTACGACATCGCGACGTAATAGACAAAATCGTTTAAAAGCTACCCGCACCGCCAGCGGTGGCAACCAATGAGTGCTCAGCGGAGCGAAAACGAAAATGAATTGCGCAGTAATTTCATTAGCAAATGCGAAATTTCAAAGAACAACGCCGCCCCTATCGCGTTCATCACATTAACTGTGGATAATAGAATTTACGTTCGATGCACGCGGATGATACATCTTTATGGTTATTTAAATTGCCGGCACTAGACATGATGATTTTTACAATGAAGCTTTATACGCCGTATATCATCATATCTGGATACTTCAAACGAACACGTGCGCATAATAAGCGATATTAGATTTCGCGGGCGGGTAAAATATATCTCGATGTATTTTCATAAAAATTTTACGCTATCCGGACGACGACGACACAGTGGTAATATTTAACGACGACGGTAATATTTAATATCAAGTAGCGTGCCGTAACGATCGATTACGCTTGTGTATTTATAATCACGCGTACAGATGTAAAATGACTTTATAATTTATTGTGTTATCTCTCAATGCACTGGTTTATGCGCTATTCCGCAAATTCCGCAAATCGAGGAATTCGTATTTTTCTATTAAATTTGACTCATTAATTAAATATGGAGTTTTGTTTTAAGATAAATTATTATTAAATGTTGATTGGATCGTTTATCAAAGAATCTCTCGCAAGCTTTAGCGCGATAATGCATATGATAATGTGACACTTATATAAGCCGGAATCCCTTTCGCGTTAGAAAATATGAAAACGTCATAACATCTCGTGAAAATTTTATAATAGTCAGACGAGATCTCGTCGGAGCATTATAACTTTTATCGCGCGAAGATGAAAAACCGCACTTGTAAGACACTGCAAGATCGATCGTAATCTTAATATTATATCCATCTTTATTCTCGCCGTTACGTTTTTTTTACTGCCGCTTTCCAACGCTACCGCTTATTTCAAATATCAGCATATAGCTCTGATTTACAAATAAATAAATGTCGAAGCTTTTATTGCTAGCCATTGAAATGGGCATGTCATGGAGACTTATTAATGGCCCCATTAATTTGTGCAATTAATAATCGCGCTCAAGCCCGCAAATTTCAATGCCGCACGCATCGCCGCTCGCCTCGTCTATAGTTAGCGATGTATAAAATATCACAGCGCCCTATCGATAATCAAATAGTGATTTTGCGGCGGTGAACGCGCACGTGCGTAGTAATCACGCTCATAAAAAAATGAATGTCTTCTCCTACCGGCACACATTATTATAGAGAGTGCCATATATCAGGTAGCATGGAACGCGAGGGAAACCGAAGATAATATAACGATTTACTCTGCGAACTGACCTAAGATATCGCGACCGAAGAAAATAGACGCTTCAGCACAAATGTGAGAAAACGTATACCCTTTCTTTCATGGATTATTTAAAAAAAGACCGATCATAAATAAATTTTTCGGACCATTTTTGATGATTTAATAGTTTCTGTGCTGCCGTAATTTAAGCGGTAATTATTTTGTTTTATAATGATACAACTTCGAACGATTCGAACTTCGAAAGACACAAGAATTTTTATCTTTTTTCCTTTGTACGTGTTTATTTTTCCGCTTCTACAACGTTATTGTGCAATGCAAATGGTGGTAAAACTAAGAGGCGATGTACACAAAATAAATTCACGGAAACCACGCATTGGCGTAATTGAGGCTTCAAATAACACTGCGTCTTTGTGCTCTGTCTCTCTTTCTCTCTCTCACACTCTCTCTCTCTCTCTCTATTCATCTTCCTCTCTCTATCTCTATCTCTCTCTCTCTCTTACTCGAAACTAGTCACTCCGGCTAGTCGTCACACAAAGGTATCAAACTTCGTCGAAGTATTTGGATTCTCGTCACTTGATCCGCATAGAAAGGCAAAGCGTTACGTAAAATCAAATGTCGAACGTAATCTGTGGTCGTTACACGCTTTTATGCTTTAAACGATTCTCTGTCTTGTATAACTTCCCGTGCAATTTCAATTTCGTTTGATTTTTTTTAGGTCGCACGCATGCGACAATTTAATCGCAGCATCGAAATGTTACAAATGCGTACAATCATTATTTCGCTTTCATTGACAGAATTGAAATTGTATATGATTTTGCGTAAAGTGGAAAACAAACTTTTAACTTTTCAATCACTAATGAATATTTTCTTTGAAAATTTTGCTTTTGCTTGCTCCAATGAGACTATATTTAATAAATTAATTTTTAAAAAAGCTACCGTGAAAAGCTAGTGAGAATTTGTACGCGGGAACGCGCGGTAAGAAATTATACATCATATGTGACATACTATTCGTAAAAGAGTCAATGCAAATATAATGCAGATATTGCACACGCGATATCGTTATATCAATTCGAAATATCAGAAAAAAAATTTAACAGGATTATTAGCCGTAAAATTTTTAATTAATTCATAGTCTATTGTTTTAAGTAACGTAAACCACGTGAATTTAATATCAATCTAATATCAATCTAACATAATTCTGTATTAAACTGTAACCGCATTCCATTGAATTCAATGATCACAACGCAGTGACGCAAATCTGCTTAGTCCAATCGAACAAATTCAACGCATTCTCGTTTACATTAACGGCTAATTAACAACGATTGCACTGAACTCCGATGCACCTGAATTCGCACTCGATCTACATTAACACCTCGGCTGTCAACGTTACGGTGGACACGCCGCGTCACGCGTTTAACTGCAACGTCGTTACAGTTGACAAGTAATTATTCCTTGCGACAAATTTAATCGTTTAACCGTTTAAATACGACGCAAAACAAAAATTTTTAATTTATTTATCCTGTTTAAATCAATAAATAATACAGTTTATACATTAAAATAAACTTTTGCACCAAATATTGAAAAAAATTGCATCTTTATCCATTGCCAACGTAGAACGCGGATGACGAATTTTCTCCGTTGACAGGATAGTATGATCCATGATCAAAGTAAAGTATTTTCACTTGAAGTTTCAATGAAGCACTTAACATTTTCGCGAAGTTTTACACGGGAATGAAGTAAAGATATGCGGGATAAAAAGAAAAAAAAGTGCGAAACTACGACTCACCTGCGAGCTGTGCGCTGCCGCGTAAAAGAAGAGTCCAACTTGTCAAAAAGTTCCAGCGGGGACGCGGGGAAACGACACACGAGTGCAACCGATCTGGTACAGTTACAAACGCAGTGCGGGGGAAAATGCGACAGAGTTGGCGTGCGTATCGGGACCGATTGTGCGATCTGGTATGACGGACAGATGAAGCACAAAGTGCGCACCGCGAGCCCGAGCTTCTCCGCTTTATACCCTCGAACTTGCACCTGTGCTTGCGCAGACCGGCCCCTTGAGCTACGTCCGCGCTCATTTCCTTCGTCAGCCGGACTCGCAGAGCCCAGCTCCACGTGCGCCAATGATGCATCCATCTACCTGTCCGTACTGATTGCGCAGCATTTGTGAAATAATTGAAGACGCGTGTGTACATTAACGACGTATTTTAATCCTCGTCCCGGCGATGTAAATTTTTGCCGGAGTTTTCGTAAAATCGGATTTAAAAGTAACGAAGTTTTTTTGCTATTTCGAATTCTGTACCGCTTTAAATCAATAATAGTGTATTGCGATAATAAGTAGAGCAACTGACACGATACTACAGGATAGATTTTGAAAAATACCTATTTCAGGTTTTAATTAAAACGCGTTAAGTTGTACACTCACAATAGGGATTTTAATTAACAGTGCCGTTTTTATATCGAATTTAGTATCATATATAGTAGTTATAATTCGCCGAAAGAGTGATACTTGACCGCGAACTGTTAGAACGCATATTGATGCAAGATGACAGTTTGACGAGATAAAATCCGAGCCAAATCGAGTTCGCGAGTTTCAGAAAATCGTCGATACGGTTGCTGAATCGGCGTCTTAAGTCGAATGTAAAGAAATCGCAACCATATCAAGTACCTACTTGTAAGCTTTTCTCGATGTGTCGCCTGTTCGTGTAATGCTGATACGACAAACTTTTCAAATCTCTACCTGGGTTAATTTAATATTTTTTTATAATACGAGCCGAAACTTTATATTTTATTCACTTCATTTTATTCACATCAACGATACAAAATGCAGCATCAAACATTAAAAAGAATAATAAATGAGTAGGCTAAGTTATTCGTTTGCTTAATTTGCTTTGCAGAATAAATTGTGTAATTTTGTTAAATATTTAGACTTTTTCGAACAATCTAATTTTTGAAACAAGAATTTTTTTAAGCGTATTGTGCCAATAAAAAATGAGAAATAAAGTATATATTTCCTGTTTCGTTATGTATTACAAACGATAATCATCTTGAAACGAGCTTAGGAGATAAGGTGGATAGGATGTGCCTACCTGAAGATTTATCTAGCCTCGTGATATCGTCTCTGACAGCAAAATTGCTTGAGCCACAACTTTCTTTCATAATGTCACGCCTCGTGTAGCCTCCACGACTGCTGATGACATTACTAGCTGCGACTAAAGCTCACACTATATTTCGGACCTAATTGCTATTTTCTTTTAACGAAAAACGAACGGTTATTATCTTTATTCTCGATATACTTTTCACATATATATTTTCGTAATAATATATTTTTCTTAAGAGTCAATTCAAAGCTTACGCATATGTTTATAAAATCGTCACTAATGCTTCAAAATTATTATATTTATATACGACATTTCTTTGCGTTTTACATAAGCTAAAACTGCTATTCCTTCTTTTCATTTTAAAGTTTGTAATATTCAGTAATTGAATAAATGTTCAAAGTTGCAGATAATAAGTAGCGAAGATAATTAGTTTTGGATTAGTCGGACGTTATCTTAAAGCGATACTCCTGGGAAGTTTTACGCGAAAATTAAAAACAGTTTTACCGTACAATTTTACCGTGGTACGGTAATGGTAACTCGTCGTCATCGACTGGTGCTCACTTTCGTGGAGCAGATGTCGAGTATTACCAGGCAGAAGTCTGATTCCTGCCGTTTTTCATGGACAATCGATCCCTTTTCAATACCGCTATCTGCATGCATTTTAGAATCGGAACTACATAGCCACATTTTCGATACCGCCAATAAATTGTAAATAAAAAAATACTCGTTAAATTTATGGATTTAATTATACGTATAATTAATACAACGTAGTTCTCTCCAATTTCAAAATGATACAAATATGTTATTATCGATAAATATTAATGGATGAGGAAAGATTAAGGCAAAAATGGGATGTGTAAAATTTCGAATAAGATGCAGTTTCCTCTTCAAGAGTTCTATGAGCTCTATGTATGTACAATACATGTATGCACACTATGCACTATGCACTCTAAATCAAACTCGTTAATTCAATTAAACACTAAATCAAACAATTGCAGTATTTCAGGATTAAATAGTAATACTAATTTATTCTAGCCCATCCATTTTAATGCAAAATCTTTGGGATACTATATTTGTCTGTAATATTCTTATACTTCTAATTTGAGATTTTTAATCTTTTTAAATTTTTTTAAATAGTACTTGTATACTTTACAATTCAGAAAAAGATTTTTAATTTTTACGTATTTATTACATCGAAATCAAAATTAAGATTATTTAATATTACTCACCGGCACGATGCGCAACAGCGGAGTTGTAGTTTACATGTTGATCTGCAAAATACAAAAATTATATATAATTATAGCAGTGTTCCAAGTAATTAATTTCTTAATAATAATTATTAGGTTTAAATTTTTTATCTATTTTTAAAACAGATATTTGATAAAATACAATTGTTAAGAATTGTAATTGTAAGTCGCAAGTACAATATGTTGAAAATATTTACGTCACAGGGATAAATGATTAATATATTCTACAAATTATATAAATAATAAATGATAAATCATTTTAAAGGTTGCTCCACCGATGTCTGATGCTCTCCGGATTTTCTTCTTCTCTCATTGTCAGTGATCCATCAATGGTTGCTTCTTTATGGCGCTTACCGCGAAATTCTGACGTAAAACGCATTAATATCAGCCATTTTCTAGACGCGCCTTTGACTTATCACGACAAAAAAACTCGAAAAAGCGCGGTTGCATGAATTTGTTCGACGTTCGTGGAGCAAGCGACAGCAGCGAAAGAATAGCGCGCGCTTAATTTTGTTCGCTATCTGTCGTGGCCATGTTATTCTTAAACTACTATTAGTCATTGTTATAATGAAATAATTTGTCGCGGTACTTTTAGATCACAATTTAGAAAATAATAAAACGATAATAGAATTGCGATTTTTTTGTGCAATTTGCTTGCTTGAATGCGTCGTGCGAATGATTAGCAATATAAGTACGCGAGATGTTAGTACGCAAACAACAGCGCGAGACCTTGTGCGCGCTATTACCTTGTTATTATTTGTACGATACTCGAGCAAGCAGGATGCGGAAAAAATCGTTTCTTATCATCGCGTTATAATCTTGTACATCGTGATTGCAACAAATATAGGGATATCACTTTCTACGTGTAATTATCAATTGGTAATTTTTGCTGTAAAACTTGCGGAATTTTCTTCGTAACCGTTGTCTATTCCGCGAATATCAAATAGATTGTAATTCTGTACGAGTATACTTTTTCAAATTACATATTTTCTTGTCGTAATGAGAAATTTCTTTGTCTCGCACGAAAATGCGACGATTGCGCGGCACTTTGAACAACATTTCCGACATTAATTTTATTGCTGGCACGCACTTCGTATCATAAAGAAATATGCAACTCGGAAAAATGTAGTTACACAGAAGCTACGATCCATTCGCGACATTTGCGAAGCAGGTAACGATAAATAAAGGAAAATGTTTTAATAGATTATTGTCGCTTGCTTGGGTTGCTTATCACGAGTTGATTGATTCTGTTAATTTTTAATTATATTATTATTAATTATTTATGCGGAATATTTCAATATTTATTTTGATTACGATTTAGAACGTAATAACGCGACGATAAAGAGAGATTCCGTCCGCGATGTAGGTACTAGTCTCAAAATCACTGTATGAATGACAACAAAATAAAAAAGATTCTTACTAAATGTTAGATATTATTAAGATCGAAACCGAAAGATTTAAACTATCGATTATTGACTCTAAATAGTAGACCGATTTTAATAACTATATTTTACTCTCGTCTAAAATAGTAGTTTAGGTGTAACATAACTGCGACAAGTAACGTGCAAAGTTGGTCGCGCAAATTTTTTTTTCTTTTCGTCACCGGAATTGTCTGCTCCGGAAGTCGTATTGTTGCAAATGCAATTGATCTCGAATGACATAAAATCGAAAATAGCGCGATTGTGATTTATTTCACGAGTGAATGCTGAGAGTACTATGAACAACCAGAGAGAAGCAAGAGAAAGAGAAGGTTTGAGGAGCAGCAACTATGAGATAATTTATTATTTTTTTATTTATTAAGTTGAAGCTATATTCTATTATATAATATTATTATATTTAATATTATATAATTAAATCCGTACACAAGGTGTATTTCTAATATATAACTTGTAAATATTGCACAGGCTTGTATGGTCAGATAATATCATTTACCAGCAATTGAAAAATAGATGCGATTAATCAATTTTATGGTATCAATTTTAAAATACGAAGATGTAGAAAGCGGTGCTGAAAATAGATCGACATCACGAAAAACGCAGGAATTCTCGCTCGTAGGTTTCTCTGTAATAACGTTATTGTGGAATCTGCAATTATCGCAAAAGTTTACTGCAGTTCGTGCTTTTAAAACTTTTGGCACTGTGCCTTCTGAAAATTTGATTTATTTATTATTTTAGAACCTATGATACATATTGATTTATATAAAACGTAGAAGATGATTTTTAAACATTTTATTATTTGTCATTGAAATGATGCTTTTAAAGTGACTCAATATGTATTTAATATGTTAATATTAATGTTTTTACATATTGATATTTTTTAAATAGAAATTTTAAAGCATTGTCCAAAACTTTCAAGAAAATGCCAGATATTCGACAAAGATTTTAATTTTTAGAAACTTGGAAAATTTGCAATGTCACTGCATCCTCTGATCTTTTATTGTAATTGATATTCATATCACATCTTACGCCGACTCACACGATACATCTGCAAATAATATAAGCGCTGCCGAAAGCTTTCGACATCGTTTTTCACTCTGCATATTTGATTTTGCATTTGTTTAGTGTACAGTCGAAGTAAAAAGGAAGAGACAGATATTAATTTCACAACATGTAAAAAGAAATATACATAGAAGGTAGAAATAGTGATACGATGATGACGCAATGTAAAATTTTATCGAAAAGCAAAACAATCTTGAACGTCATATCGCATTGTTCGCAAAGGAAAGCAATTATGTTGACTGTTTAATATAGTACGATAAGGTTTACATTAACTTTATCATACCATATTGAACAGTAATTAACTATACCAATCAGAATTGACATATATCAAAGTTCCTTTGACTGACTTGTCAATCGATTACAGTTAATTCAATGTCAATACTACATAATCTAACATATATCTTCACGCATGTTATTAATTATTTTGATATGGATATAGATTATTAAAATCAAAATTTGTTTTTTTCTTAGTTATTTTGATAACAATTTTAATAAGCTTAATAATAATAAATTTCTTTGAAGCTGCATCTATGAAAAAAAGTAAAAAAATACGAGGACATTTTCAATAGATTTAAGAATTACAAAAGTTCTTTTACTTTGTAACTTTCTTTAGTATTATTTAACGTAATTACATGCTTGTATCTGCATAAAATAATGTAACTTTTTTTTATATTTTTTTTCTTTTATTAAGAAATAAAATTTGAAAAGGGATTAATTAAAAAAACAATATAGAAGGTTATATAAAGGTTATATAAAAAATTAAATTTTGTGCGTATTTTTTTACTCTTTTGACTTTTGATATAAAAAATTGAAAAAATCCGAAAGTACATGTATAAACTATTTTATACACAGTCAATCGAAACGTCACTCTCAAATTTCAACAGTTAAAAGGACAATTTTAGGTGCGCGCAAATGTTTCCAATTTCACAATTATTTAGGTAACAAATAAACTTTAAATAAAGTGCTTTCTGCAGTAGTTATTTCGTCTTATATTACGACTAATATAGATTCTATTGTATCAAAGTGAAAAAGTGCGGTGGAAATAATGCTGTGTACTTTTGCTTTGGTTAAATTATTTATCTCAAAGAACTGCAATATTACATGATTTTATGCGAATTAAGTAATCAAGAATAATAACATCTGAAATATATTTGTCATATTTGTCAGAAACTATTCTTTAATGACATACATTTCCAAAATGTTCTAAAACTTTTGCAAATTTAAAGTTATCCAAAATAACTGCGTGAATAAAAATAGAAACACATTACTTCCAGTTTAATATCTGGTTTTAAAAGAACGCATGAATAAAAAGCTTTACGGAAGCGTGCGAAATCCTTTCCGGTCTCGCAGGACTCGACGGATCGAAATGTTTTTGCAAATCGGTTAATATCATAAAATCATGTCCAAGGTCTTTTGACAGCACATTTGCGTGAGACGAGCTCGTAATGCGCGCGACATCACGAGCTCGAATTTGTCACACCACGATGTATGAAGGAGCTTAAATCCACACGATTGCGAAAATTGAATATTAACGGCGCAGCGCGCCCACCCACGGCACTCTATGGAATCGACACGCTGTACATTTTACGCGGCCCGTTTGTCCCCCTTTTTTATTGCAGGCGCATATCGAATGCTACAGTGAAATGGCCCGTACTCGCGTATACGACGCGTGCATGACGTGCGTGGTGTATGTGTCACGTTACATTTTCAAAATCTCGTTTTAGCATTGTTACGCGTGTTTGCAAGTTATTCGATGATCCACGCGACACTTTATTAAAGATATACATCTCGCCATGATTTCAGTATTATCGGTATTTTTATACTTCTGACACTCATTGCCAGTCAAATCAGACAATTGATACACTCGTGCGACATTAAAAAGAGTGTCTGTTGTTTAACAATATATTTGTTGTTAATTTGTAGACATAATAAAATTAATAAAAACAACAAATAAATGGTGGATTTAATAACTATTTAAATATATTATTTTTCAATCGTATGCAATGATTAAAAATAAATAAACTGAAAGCAAAGATAAATAAACGGAAAACGTATTTTCGTGAAAATATTTTCTTATTATGATTTTTCAGCAGTTATACAATATGTGAAAACAGAATGTTAACAAGTTGCGTCGATAATGAACTGCCCAATTAATCTCATGAATATTCCGATAGGTCATAGGTGTTGGAATAATAATAATAATGCGAAACTACTTCCGCGCGTCAAACTTTTCAAATTAAAGTCACTGCTTCATCAAACAAAGAACGGTATAACGTGAAATATATGCATAAATAATTTTGCTTTGCAGATCGCATGATTCCAATGGCCTCATCGTTGTTGAAATGTGTCTCAAATAAAGAAATCGTATTCATCGCGAAATCTGATATCTAGAAGTATTCGAAAAGTCGACGTATTCAAGGTAAGTGGAGCATTTCTTACAAATCCAATAACTCGGAAAAACGTTTTAGACATCGAGAAGCGAGAAATTCCGCTCGCACATATTATAAGCAAATTACAAAAAGATTGGATTCTATAAGCACAAAAAATTTGCCAACTGCACAAACTATTATATATTTGATTTTTCTGACTTTTTCGCAAGTATTTAATATGTACAAATATTTTCGATAAAATTGAATTTATTTGCTTGAAATATTCAAGAAAAAAAGAAAACCATGTTAAAAATCGTGTTCAGTTTTGAAGTTAATAATCCATAATAATCTTCCCATTAAACATTAAAGTATGACGCTAAAAAAATCGACACAGATAACCTGCGTCAGAGACAAAGACGTTACTGCGTCGACCCTACGAATTTCGCACCATGAAGTCAACACCATAAAACTATATCAAACGTGAATGCGAAGTGACGAAAGCAACTCAATGAAACATTCAAATGTCGCAATGTTTCGGTAACGATTATCCGTGCGCGTTAAATTAAATCGTCAGTGGATCGTTCGCTTATTATCTTTTATGTGAAGGGCCGCTAAAGTAATTGACAACAAAGGCAACTTGCCGCTCTCTCTTCTTCTGATGACTTAGGTTTTACGACTAGCATACCGGCCCACTCTTTCTCATGATGAAACACGCACCGAATGATACAGCTGTTGACATAACTCTTCCGCGATATTGAACTATACGATATACTTGCGATACACTTCAAATCTCATATTACTTCAAAATGGTGAAACGTTTATTATTATTATTTTCAACAACAAACATGAAAAATAAATTGACTAAGCAACTACTTGAAGTATAATCTACTTCAAGCAAAGATAATTACATTTTTGTACAAGATCTGATAAAGAATACACAGATACATATTTTGTCAGTGGATTCTATAGAGTTAATTTTAAGTGAAAAATTTCATTATTATAAATTTATTTCTCAATAATGACATTTTTTATTTAAAATCAGCTGCAAAATTTACTGACAAAATTTATTTAGATTTATATAAAATTTATTTATTTATTTATATTAATATAAATTTATATTTATATTAATTTATATAAATTAATTTATTTATAGTAAATCTGTATTTTATTCTGCATTATGTTTTTTTTTCTCTTATTAAACATAGAGCTTACGATTAAAATTATTGATGCATATGAAATATTGTCGTTATTGATGCATATGAAATATCGTCGTTATTGATGCATATGAAATATCGTCGTTAAAAATCTTTCTTATTCACCGGACTTGCCCCGATTTGAATTTCTATATATACCGATGCGAATTGCAAGTATAATTAGGCGGATTATTCAAGGAAATGCTCGTTATGATATTGCACCCTTCTTGGTTCGATTCACAAGTGCCAGGTGCGCCTTCGTTCGTTTGTATATGCGTCTGACTACGGATATTCGTAACTACTTATCACGATGCGACGTACCTATACTACTTGCATGCAGCCGCACCACGGATCGAATCGCGCGAATCTACGTTTAGTTGAGAACTTGTTGCGCTTTTCTCGTGCGTCACTCGAAAGCGTTTGCTCCACTTATGTAATTAAGAACTATAATTATTTTTCACAACGTGCTCGCATTCCGATAAAAATACACTATTATTTTTATGAAAAATTTTATTTGTAAGTGGCACTATCGTGATTCTCGATACCCACTTACTATATATTGCAACAGTAACTCCAATTATCTGCAGCCACATGGCCGCTATGAGCAATATCTAGATAAAAGACAGGTATTTGCAGTACCAATAATACTGAATATCACATATCGTAATTCTTTGAAAGTATATTGTATGTTTTTTGAAATATAAAATTATCGTGATACGTTATAAAATATTGTTATATTAATCCGTGTGTTTTTGAATATGGTTTTATAGAAGAATTTGTTGAAAAAAATTGGTATTTTATCTTTAATGTGAAATTTTTCAAATCTATTAGCGATCACTTCTATTTTATTGTTTTAGCTGAAATACGATTATAACTAATTGGAATTTTTTTCTGCAATCTTCTATAATGCAACGTTGCAAATAAACACATTTTTCTATATTTTTTTCTCTATTTCAGAGAATCACAATCACAACGATCACAAATAGTTCAATAAAAGTTTTTATATTTTATTGCATATAAAGTTTCTAGATGTATTTCTAAATGTATGCTATTTTTATTGACGTATAACTGCCCACATTACTTATTTTTATTATGGTTGCGCTTATATGGAACTTAACATATGTTTCATATATGCATTCTCATTTATTGAAATGTCAATGAAATAAAAGTTTAAAGAGAAGCATACATATGTAGAAGCATAATTTTTGAACTGTAGATCTGAAATCTTTAGAACATTAGTTTTAATTTAAACGACATTATCATTCGAAATTTATTTTCTCAAAATGTGCTGTATGGTCACAAAGACATTTAATACAAGAGTTAGTCAAAGGATTCATAAATAAAAGTAACAATAATTCTGAAATATGTAATAAAAATTTTGAGTAAATATTAAATATGTACTATATATACATATAGTGGTGCATATTAACAATATAATACTAAATATCAAACAATGTACAGAAATTGACATCAGACCTACGCGAAAATATCTAAATCAGACATCTATATTTAGTTACAATTACGATTAATTACGATTAATTTATGATTAAAATTGTTTTAACCGCGCAGCAGTGAAATAACTCTGCTGTATATATCGGTAACCCATTTTTAAATATGTAATTATAATAAATATGAAGCATGCATGATGAGATTAAACGCGTCTGTAGTATCTAACCAGGGCTAACGTCGAAATTCATCAATGTTATGGTAAATTTCCCGTTAAATCCCACCCACGACAATTGTTTTCGTTCACTCGCACGGAGTTCGCTGTCACCGACGCAGGTGCGCATCCCTGCCCCACCAAGCACTAAACTCGCCGCCCTGTACCGCCACAGCGTCACACGTCTATAAAAGCCTGATCACATCGCTCCCCGGCTTCGAGTACAGTTGCTGACCCCTCCGATCGAGATCGACCTTTTTTTTGTCAGCAGCGGTGAAATTTGGTGTACGGTATCCCCGTAGGTGTCCCGCTCGTTTTTTCGCAAGGGTGAACAGAAGTGATATACATACGTCGATTTTTTGAGTGCGTGAAGAAAAGGAAACGAAATTATCGAGAGAAAATAGCCATCGAAACAGTCAGTATGATAATTTTAGATATATTTAAAGTTACTTATTTCTTGTTTTATTCGGATATTCTATAAAGATTGGATAGTAAAATCGCGAATCTTTTTATATGAATTTCTACAGTAAAGCCATATTTTATAAAATATATTTGGCCTTATTTTTTTTTATTGCTAAAATATTGTTATGATTAAACATAAAAATTTATAATTTATTTAACTAATATTAATTTGAAATTACACACAATAGAGTTATAATCAATATTTTTTTAATTGTCTTGAGCTATACAGAAATAATTTAGATTTTTATACAATCTCTCTGATATCTGGTTTATAATATTTTAGTATAATATTGATTAACATTATTTGCATCAATTTTTTTAGAAAGTAAAATGCTTCCGTCAATTTTTTTAAATATTTTATGCTCGACAATTAACACATTACAAGTTAAAAAAAATATTTTTACACGAATAAAAATTAGATAATTTATTTTTTCATGATTTGGAAAAAATAAATGTCATTAAAACCGACTTACAGGTGGCAAACGATCGCAGGCTACGTTCCCCGAACGTATCTATTCGGTTTATATAGCAAAGTATCAGCTGTGAGAATATCAAATGGCATTTACTTTGAGAAATCCCCGTGTCGTGCAGACCTATACCATCGTGTCGATCTTCTGCTTCATCGGAAGTTTCTGCACGGCCGGTAGGTACAATGCGCTTTCCGTCTCTTATTGCAGTTGTGTTCTTAACACCTTTCTTGATCCATGTAAATTTTCATTGTTTATCAAGAAAATTTTTACTATAAATATAATGCTCTTTTATGTCCAACACAATTATAATGTTGAGGTCAGAAGTTTTATTGCGCGTTAATTTTATTATCGTGAAGCAATTTATCTCGAAGACACGCTGCTACCTTTTAACATATAAATATTATAACTGGCATTTTTTAATTAATTAACCAACTAATTTTTAAATGCAGCTTTCAGAATTATTTTAATGACTAAAAAACCACTCTTTTTTTTGTCACGTCAATATGTATGTTTAGTTTAGCCGCGCGCGGATTTCCAATATTTATCACATTTATATATAATTGATATTAAACTACAATATTATAACAGTTTTATATTAATAACTAAAATCTCTTTCTCAAAATTTCAAATTAATCAAAAACCAAATGAATTGTAATAGTACATTTTGCTTTCAATATAAATCGATCGATAGCCGTGCAAAATATTTGTAACTTAATTTTTCTAACTGGATATTCAAAATAGTTTACACGAATTTAACATAAAATGTGAGATCCGATGATAGAGAATGATCTTTTTATAATATATTCGCAAAACTAGGACTGAGACAAGACAAGAACAAACGTCATAGCGTCTTATTATCCTTCAATCACAGTTACATTTTCATGAAGACCAACGCGGAAACTTGCTTGTTAGTTAATACGCCGTTCCGTTAATAGAAATATGCCTAAGTAACTAGGAAAATGTTTATTGCAATTTGTCTGCTCATCGGGCGGAAGGTAATTGTTCACGACGATGCAATATCTACAAACTTCTCTCGGACGATCATTAATTTTGAATGAAAGTATATAAGTTTATTATAACATCTGAAACACTACATGAATTATCATGAGAAAATCTGTAATATAAAATTTTGTTTCTTTTATTTACAGTAAACTATTATAATTGGACGCTAAAATTTGTAACTGAAATTGTGAATTGCAAAAAATAAGTTTTAAAAATAATTATTATTATTTTGAAGTACAATTAACATAATGATAATGTGTTCAAATATTCACATTTAATAACGGCTTTTAAATTACATAAATTAAATTTAACTAAATGAACTAAATACGTTACACTTCTCATAAATTTTTTAAATATAACTCTAGATTTTTTAGCCGCACTTTTACAAAATGTTTGGAACTTGGTTTTTCTAATCATACATGTAGAAAATCAAGATAAATTCTGTTAGAATATGATTCTACCTTTACGTCAAAAAATTAATTAATCATTTTTTTTTATTAATTAATCACGTTTTTTACATTATGTTATGGCTGAAAGGATATAAAATATTTCCTCATATTTAATCAAGTGAATAAAGATAATAATTTGGCCGCGCAATTGAAACAAATTCCTAGGAAAAACTCACGCTTTTGCATTGAAAGTTCTTAGCAAAATTAGAATCCCAAAATTAAAATCCCTAATGCACATTTGAAAGAGACTAAAAAATTAAGAGCTGCTAGATTAATATTACTGACGAATATATGTGTATGTATATAAAATATTTTAAAATTATTAAATTTATTTTATTTTTACACACTAAGTTTATTAAATTTATTTCAATTATTGATCCTTTGATTGGAAGAAGTTGATTTATTTTAGTCTATCTAAATTAATTCTCTTTTTAAAATACATGATGTGCGATTAATTTTAAATATACACATTATTGCTTCTCATTCTTTTAGCTGCGGAAACTTACAGAGCTCTTTAATTTACCGAGAAATGAAACAGAAATGCGATATATGTATATTAATTTGTATCGCTTTGATTAGTTATTTCAATATTAATTAACATAAAATAACGAAGGTTTTAATTGAAATAAACCGAAAAAGAATTTTATTTATTTTTATTGCAAATGTTTCAATATTTGAACAATCGTGTGAATGTCTGTTATATTCAGCGTTTATTTTATAACATGTTTCTGAAAAAATACAGAAGATAGAAAAGAACTTTATTATTTTCTATAATAAGATATAAGAATTTGCGATAAATTTCGGAATATAAAGATAATTTTATTTTTTTAATAAAAAAATTGTCTAAAACAGAAGTTTAAAATTAGATTTCTATAGCGCTGCAAGATTGTAAAGGTGACTGAAATTGAATCTGAACTACTTTAAATAAAAGAGAAAGTCTGAACCTTTACCCATTATAATGCCACAGACCTCCGTCTACTATCTCTTTAATGATCATCGCGATTTCTTTGTGTGAACAAAACGCGCGTAGGTACATCAAGGATCACAGGATCGGTAGAGAGACAAATGTAATATCTAAATCACATTGATGCCATTGTCTATAAAAACTAGCGTAACCTTTAAGAATGAACTTGCGCGGTCGAGCAGAGTCTCTTGACGCATTATGTATATACATATGTATCTCTCAGAGAGGATAGATTGAATATGCGCAGTCTCCGATGGAGAAAAGCAAATTTCTCTCGTTCGCATACCGCATTGCGCATTGAAGAAACGTGTTCCTATTTTGTCTCATGAACAAAGCGCGAATAAGTATTTTCAGTTCTGTTTACTCCGCCACAATCTTTCGATTAGCATTTCTTTTATTTTCTTATTACAGTTTTAGTTGGTTCTTAATCAGAAAAGCACTTTCGAAACTCCACACAAGTTTCTAGCAAATTGTTTCTGAACTAAATTTTACAATTAAAATTGTCGACATTGATGCAGATTATGTTGAATGTATTCTAATGATTGCTGTGTTATTTATGTAATTGCTATATTATATATTATGCATTGTTTATGATTTTTATCTATGATATATTGTTTAATATCTGCGATTTTTTTAATATAATAAAACAGATTTTTATGATTCTTTATGCTCTCACATCTATTACAATATTTTTCTCTGAATATAAATAGATTTATACGACAAGACATAATAGAATTTCAGCTTTAAAACGTGATGCTGGAAATCATAATAAAATAGTGATGAAAAGCTAATTTTGCAGGATATTATCTGCCTTAGCATTCATTGTATGCAAGGAATGTTGAAGCAAGCTTTTTCACATTTCTTATAGGTAGTTTACAAGCCGTTCTTTATGCGGAATATCGTCTAGCAAATATAATAGTAATAAGCATCTTCAAAAAATTTTTATTGCCGTTTCTGTTTTATCTATAGTGAAGTTGGAGCGCCAGAGTCATATTACGAGGAAAAGTCAAAAAGTAAAAGGATATTTAATTGATTAAAAATCGAATAAGTTCTTTTATTTTTTGAATTTTCCTAGTATTTCAAGAATTTTCGTCGAGTTTTATATTTAATTTTTTCATTTTAATATTATATGCTATTTTATTACTACACTATATGTTATTATTTCTGATAAAATTTCTAATAATTAATTATCTAATAATTAATTATCTAATAATTTAATATTACATGCGTATATGAATATTTATTATGTATTTATTTGCCTACTACATGATTAAATTCATGAAAATTTCAATAACAAAATGGAGTTTGAAAATTTTTATGAATATTTATTATTTAATTATTTTTTTAATATTTATTATTCAATGTTAAATATATAACTGTCACTTTAATTTAGGGGCTTGTATGGGCTACGGATCTTCTTGTTGGGGAGGTACGTAATTTTCTGCTGATACATTTTTATTAATAATAATAAATAATATTTTTTTTATAAGAATAATTTAGCTAAGTAGTTTATCAATACATAAGTGGCCTATTAGATAGCATGCTGTAAAAAAAATTGTAGCACATGGAAAACGCAGCGATATGCAAGATGTACCTGTCATACGCATCCTGGCAGCCAAGACTTTGTTGAGCGAATCCCCGCAAAAGGCGCAATGGATTCTGTCCCGTTTGATGACTAGACAACCCGTATTACCATTCACGGATAAATATCATGTTAGGTGGAGCGGTTTCTCTAAGGATAAAACGTATGTTTCGCCAAAGTGGGATCGCTATACGGCACCAATGAACGACGAAACTTTTGAATCAATCAGGTGAATTTCTTGCGAGAAATATGACAGAGCAACAAATAATACTTTAATACGAAATCTCACACGATAAACTATCCATGCAACAACCGAGTAAGCAAAATGTTACCAATGTTAGCATATGACAACAAATTTGCTGTTAACCTGCCAACATTGCTAACATTTGGCTATTTGGGAATATTTGTAACTATTTTAAAAATGCAGCCAATATTTTTTATGAAGCTTTTACTATCTCATTTGTTTTTAATTTATCTTTAAACATTTTATCATTGTCAAATAAAATTTGAATATAAATTAAGTAATGAGATTCCATTTCTGATTAAAGTGTTCTCAGTCATCGTATATAAACAATGAAAGAACATAAACAAACACAATTAAATGAGCGTAAAATTTAGATATTTTAAGAATAGTCTGGATCGCGAAATAGTAATGACAAAGTTACGTAGAATTATAAGGAATAAAGGTACATTTTACAGTTGGCAAAGTTTTAAAACGCATTTTATCGAAAATGCTCGTTAGAAGTTGTACGAACTATTAGACTTATAATTAAACTTTTCAATATTTTGATTAAGGAGCAACATTATCTCTCTATGATAACATTCAACTCTTTGCATTTTCATTACTTTAAATAAATTTTATTTAAAAATATTATTTTTCTTTTTTATTTTGCAGGTAAGTAGAACATATATATTTGAAAATAATTGTATGTAAATTTATGAACTAACATCAATTAGAAAAACTTTTTTATTTTATTAATAATTATTAAACTAACATAACATTCGCATTTACAGAATTCCAATTAACAACGAAAATGAAAACGATGAGAGGAAAGCCAGCATTATACAAAGTGCAATGCGTAAGAGAAACGAAAAATTTGAAAACACTCCAGAAATCTTATTAGTTTCGTCTAATGAGTACGATAAACTAATTAACGATCCTTACAAGTTAGATGTACTCAAGTTTCTGGTGGGCCTTGTGGTTATATTTACATTTATTGAGAACTTTCTATTCAATTCATCTAAGTATTAATCTGCCAAATAAAAATGATACGTTTATTTTCAGAATGAAGGGAACGGAAAAGCGGAATAAACGGAATAAAAGACTGCAAGACATTACTATGAGATAAAAACTTAAAAAAAAAAAAACAAGTCTTATCATAGAAGTGATATTAATAATTTTCTGTAAAAACAAATGTACATGTTTTCATATTAAATTAAAATTTAATTTATTATTCTATCTTTATTTAGAAAACTATATTAAATCTTTACTTAGAACAATATGAAATCTTTGCTGAGACAACTGTATCCTTCTCTAGTAAAACTTTCGATGATAACAATTCTGTTGATCAATTCTGTAAAATACCCAACAGCGGCAGATTTCGTCGATTGTTGTGACATCCTGTTTTAACTAGTCGTATTATATATACATACTTCGATAATAATTATATACGGGATATTCCAGACTAACTCTATCGCCCGTTAATAACAGATTTCTGAAGTCATTTGAAGACGAAAATTTTTATATATGCTAAGAATACAAAATTAATATATTCCTAAGCGCGTGAATTTTTAACAATCTAATAAGTCAACTTTCAACATTTTCTATTTAAAAACTATTGCGGCTTTGACATTTTAGTATAAAGATTTTCGTCTCCAAATGACTTCAGGAATCTGTTATTAAGATGGGTTAGTCTGGGACATCCTATATGTTACTAATTCAGAACTTTTTGTCTTCTTTCTATTTTATAAAGCTTGCTGAATCCAAATTCTAACTAATTTTATATTAATTTTAATTTATATTAAAATTAATTACTAAGTTAAAATATCACTGAAATTTGGTGAAAGTATGCATTGCTACATAAAAAACGTAATAATGTTAAACTTTTAATTCAGTCTCAAGGTTTCAGCATTCGCCAATATTTATTTCACTCGCTTTTTTACATAATAAATCAGAATTAATACGGCAATTGATACTGATTTAAATCATTATATCAAATAACCAGTATTAAGTCGTTAAAAAGTTACAAAATGATTTAAACTATTATCGCATTATGCATAAATTGTAAAATAAGACACGTCGAATATGCTTAATAATTTTTTAATTCCTTAATTTTAATGTTTCTTATTGAATAATTGTTTTGTTATTTTAAGGGTTATAGAAATAATTAGTAATAGCTAATTGCTGCAGTTCAATAATGGGATCAGTTCTGATATGGATATTTATTTCGCAAAAATAAGTTATAATATTATCAACTGTATAATAGACGTTTATAATATTCACATGCGATAAAGTTCTACAGTTTAAAGTATCATCCGATTACAATGTGTCATCGATTTATCGAGAGGAAACAATGAAAACCGAGCTTGCTATTAACACTAGATAATGGCAAATGTTACCGATACGATTCAGTTCGCGGTTATCTATCGATATTATTCTCGCAGAGTACAGCATTTAAATGAAATCTCAAGAAAAGCTGCACGTTATCCGTGTTTGATCGCTAGGTAATGCTGATCTAATGTGTAAAAGCAGAATATACATATACATATGTAGAACTACACTCTTATAACTTAAATACAGAGATGAATTTTAACCTGTTAACTGGGGATGAGACGACTTAACTCGTTTTCTACTAATGCCTGTGCAATGAACAAAACAAGTTAATTCACCACAAAAAGATTCGAAAATTACATTTGTACGTTATTCCATTGTTTGTATTATAAACTAAATGTAATTTATAAACTATTTATTAAATTTTTATTAAATGCATATTTTCTATAAACAAAACGCGCTAATTCGTTTTTAAACATGTTTGTAGTTACACGCATAGGGATTGTTTTTCTTTAAGAAAGCATACAGTTAACAGGTTAATTCTCTACTTTCTTTGCATTGCTACAATGAATTATATAGATTTTAAACGTTCACGGAAAACGTAATTGTCGCGTTATTACTAAACTGCGAAACAACTAATACAAGTATTAATATGAAACAATAGCGACAATTAAATAATCATATCAAGCATAATTGAATGCAAATAATAGAAATAATTTTTTCTAATATATTTAAACGTAAAGATATACGAAATTGCTTAGTCTTGATATATACACGGGTAACCTACTACACTTCCTTTATTTGTTGGTTATATTTGGATCTGAACGACGCGAATGGCGATGGGATGTTATCTGAAAAATACAATATGCACGCTATAGAACATATTTTTATATTTTTAGTAAATTAAAATATTTTTCTATATTTTAGTTAAAATTGTAATTTTTGTTTTATAATATTTTTATAGCTGAAGCAAGATTCTTTAAATTCCAATTTATATCGCATCTTAGCATTTATTCATAGAAACACATACCAACTGATTAACTAAAGATGACAGAAGATTCGAGTATAATCGTTGAGTGCCTTTGAGAGTCCGCATGAAAGACCGGTCTGATGATTCCCGAAATTCGTTGTTTGGAAGAATGTAAAATAATTCATCCTTGGGTGACGGTAGTTCGAATTCTTGAAAGTTGCGACTAATACTTTCTTGCAACGTGTCGCGTCGCACGGTCGAATCGTATCTCTTCCCGTAAGCGCTGAGACAGGGATGTCCGTAACTGTGACAGCGACCTGCAAGAAATTAATTAGCGAGATTAATTGCTTTAGGTATTTGTGTAAAGACGAATAGGATGATTTGATTGCGAAGAGGGATAGTAATCTGAAATATTGTGGCAAAATAAATTTATTTCATTACATGCACTGCGTGCATAACCGTTTTCGTCTATATGATTTTGTATCATTCGATGCAACCAAATGTTTCGTGCTATGTTTGAAAATTTCGGTCTAGAGTGTCTCTGTGTTTCGTGTTTATAGACATATGAAATCTTGAGAAGATTTTTTGGCGAACCATATTTTGCTTATTAAAAATTATTGCAGATAAAATTAATATGGAAAGAATAAAATGAAGAGTTATAGGGACCTAAAGATTTTTTGAAGTTTTTAACAAATTTTGTCGTGTATCGTAGTTGTTTTTCTTTAAATCATACCTTTTACACGACGATATTCACTGATATCCCGGCGGCCAATATTCCTTTCTCCTCGCGCTGTAAAGGAATCAATGTTACAAAAATCAGGCAATTTTTTTTTATTTTTGCATTTTTTAGGCCCCTACGTAATACTCTTACAAATTAATACTATAAAAAATATTTAATTTTTAAATGTAATAAGTTTTGAAGTAAAGAAGAAAGAAAAAAAGAGAGAAAGAGAGAGAGAAGAAAATCTTAAATAACTGCAGATAAATTGTAGATAATGTTGCTTAAAGCAATTCTGTATAATCCTTGTAACAAAGTTTATTCTGCACGATATTTTTAAAAATATCACATATTTCATCACAAAAAAAAAACGTTGCATCTTAATCATGTATCCCTCTGGGAGGTACTGCAACTTTGTACCTTTTTTCATGCACAAAATTAAGATTTGCAAAATAAGTATATATATATATATATATCTTATTTATTAATATTTAATAATTTAAGACAAACAATTCAGATATACACATATAAATCTCTGCAATATTTAGCTTAGAAAGTTTATCTAGTGAACATTGAAGCGTTGCAAGTGTCTAGTGCTAGCTTAAAAATGTTGCGTTAACTGATATTAAAACAAACACGCGTTAGTGATTCAGTTGAATTCATTCGGAATAAAGATAATCCGAAAATAATGATTTATATTCCCTTGCTTTGAGGCTTTTTTCCAATTACAAAAGTGAAAAAAACAAACGCATATACATATTAGCGTATAGTTGAGTTCCGAATACGAAAAACTCTTCTCCGATAACGAAAATACATATCAATATTTCAATATAAAATAAGTTACGGTTTATTTCGTATTTTAATTATTATAATTTATTACAGCACAGTATATTTGGTTTGAAAGTATTCTCTAACGTAAATGGGAAAATTTTATTTAAAAATTGACTTTATGTAACATATCATGAATTTTAATATATTACTTTGCAATAATTATACATTCGAATTTTTTAATTAATGATTGTTATTAAAAGAATGATTGTAAATTGTTATTAAAAGAATGATTGTAAATTCAGTTAATACGGGTAGTGCGATATTTTAATTTTTATACTTATGCTCTTATAGCCAACGCGGGCAAAAGTATTTAAATAACTAGAATAAATTTCAATGCATGAGTATATAATCGAAAGATTGAATAATAAATTTCCCGGCATGCACGATCATAGATCAAAGAACAAAATCGTTAAATATATAAATGCGTAATACGCGTTGGGAAGCTAAAATTATTTGCGGACAATAAAAGAACAACTTGCTCCGCAAGGTTGTTCGCTCAATTACCACCTGAAACGAAGCTGATTAATCGATTATTGCATCGGGGTTTCGACTTTCTTCTACTTTGAACAAACCTATTTCTTTGTGTGTTGCGTTTTTAATAGTTTCGCAGAAAAACTAACAGCTATAAAAGGAGAGCTCATTAAGCGTTCATACTTATCTCTCTTATTTCTTAACACAAATCAAATGCTTCCGATAATTGTAACGTAACCTTTTACGTAACTTATTATACATATCTTAAATTAAGCAAATAGATTATGAAACAATTATTATCACTTATATTACACACATTTCTTATTAATCTTTAATGGCGAAATTAATTTTACGTTGTATATTTTGTATATTATTGCGACCCCGCGATATGCAATCACGCACTTTAATTACAATGATTACAAACATGTCATTTCGCTGAAATCTTTTCGAGATAATTTAAGCGTGTCAAGGAAAATATAGAGATGCTTGTGTCGGACATTTTCGGCAAACATTTGCACTTTAGCCACACTTGGATTTATCATCGTTTACGAAAATGCGTGTCATGGCTGGACAATTCGAACTTCGATCTGAGCAGCCGCTACATTTACAGTGAAATGGACTGGCGTATTGCATAATTCCATTCTATCTATCCGGTATGAATCTACCAAAGTGCACTTCACCGTGACGCCAATGGCGCACGAGTAAGGATTTCGACGTCCTATCTATAAAATTCGCCATTTTCGACCACTGACTTGTATCAGATGTTTATTTAACTTGTAAACGTTCTCGACGAAGACATATTTTTACAAAAAATCTGCAGAGCTTTAACTGAATATAATGCAGACTGAACATTTAGAAATTTAGATACAATTTGGCTGTGCAGCATTTTCGTGAACTAGATAACGTACTCAAGATTTCAATTTGATCTTCGTTCTCGTATCGCGCTTCGGCTTTTCTTTTTTCTTCTTGTAATGCTAACTTTATTTTTTTTTATTTTAAACATTAGAGAATTTATTACGATATTATTATCAATAATTAAGATTTTCTTAAGACAATTTCGGATAACTGAATAAAGCTTGAGAACTTTCAAAAAATTTATGCAAAAATAAACATGATCTTTTTAACCCTTTATCAATCAAAACTGGTCTTGTATTTTTAAACTTTACGAAAGTTGTGAGAATTTATAACGAAAATATGCGTATGATAAATTATTTTGATTAATTTTTCCCTAAAGATCAATAATAAACTTTTAGCTTTCCGCAAATTTTATTACAAAGAGAAATAAAATGTAAAACGTAAGCGCGATACATTTTTATTTCCATCATTTTATGTGCTTCAACGATTATATGCGTACAACATGTAGTCACAATTCACATGTACATTTTACTCGTCGCGTAGATGTTTAATTAACGCAGATTGCAAACTACATGAAATGTGATCAAAGAAACAGCGGTGTGCATAGAGTTGCCTCAAGCAAGTAACATAATGCTCAAGATAAACTCTATCTCTTATAATTTAATGGATGCCAGTATAATCTTAATATTTTTAATATACAAAATAAGAGGGAGATAAAATAAATAAATAAAATTAAACGAAATCAAACAAAAACCAAACAAGCCAAATATAATAATAAAAAGAAAGCGATTTTACGAAAACTAAAGTATGAAGCTAATAAAACTCTGTTCCACCTTTTCTAAAATACACTTCGTTGCTCTTCAATGTAGAGTAAAATGATGTTGAGGCTATAAGTGATCTAATAAGAGCCGTTAAGTTGTGCTTTTTTTCTTGCTATCGATTATACCGATTGCCCATTCGAAAGTAGACGCGCGAGAATATATTTGTCACACCCATTTTAACGTTTCTACGAAACATTGACATAATTATCGAAGAATTTGTACATTTCAATATCGACGTTTAAAATTAAAACTGATCAGAGGGCGGGGTGTGCTTTAAAATCAAAACGTTTTTTGTGTTTTGATAGATGTCAATAAGTTCAATGATTGGAAACAAATTCGAAGCAACAGTTATGTTAAGGATTGTATAATTGTTAATAATTTACGTAATATTTGCCTATTACATAACACACTTAATTAAGCTGTCTCGTTAGATGCTAACTACGTTGTGATTTTCTGCACCGACATAATATTTAATATCGCACAATACAGGTCAATTAACTTACTAATTTTCGATATTTATCACGATTAAATTAATGTATACATTTAGATATATATTATTATATAGTCACAATAATTTTCATTAATAAACAGTTTGCTGAAATCTTTTAATGCAAAATATTTTATTTTTATTATTAATTGTCTATATAAATCAAGTAAATTAAATTCTTAAAAATATAAACATTTTGAAAAAAATTTTACAATAAAGGTTGTCATAGAAAATTATCAAAAGTTAATTTATAACGATTAAAAATTTTAATAATTTTATGGAAGAAAACTTAAAATATTTTGCATGTAATCTCAAAAAGGATCCGAATTAATCGAGTATTTGGATTTTTACTTGACTTTGATTTTAGTTTTATTTGACTCGTGCATAGCTCCATACTCGATAATTTCTACTCCCGCATCCATTTCTAATCCTATGTTCACACTATTTCTAGCTTACATAAGAATCGATAATCATGTTGCGGAAACATGAGCAAACAGAGCAAACAAATGCTATTATAACATTTCGTAGCCGCGAGAGTTAACCGATTTGACATTAAAATGGAGCAACGATAATTCGCTTCTGCATGAGTTTTGTATAGAACGGCAAAACTTCGCGACAGCATCGCAGAAATAATCTATCGCTTGCTCTCACTGAGAGCTCAAATAGAAGTTGAGTGGACGTGTGTAGTTGCGATGTAACAATTTGAACTTTGCTTTTACATCGAGCATTGTTATGACTCTTGTCTCTAAGAGCGACAATAAAACGATTGATGTTACACATTCAATAACAACAGTAGTTATATGTTTCTCATCACAGCTTAATATCGGTTTCATAAAAGATTCGCTTATTTTCAAATTAATTTTAATTTTATTTGATAAATTTATATTTTATTTCATAAAATAAATTTTTCAATAATTCCATAAATGACATACGTGATTTATTTAAAACAAATGTGTATGTAATGTTTGGAATCTTCTAAATTATTCTTCAATTTTATTGAATATTTAGAATATATAAGTAATTAAATTATTATTTCTCTAATCAGTTATGAATGATCAAATTAATTTTTTATCACAAAGCAAGTCACAATCAATTAGTACATAGTGTTTGATTTTTTGAGTCATTTCCGATAATGCTTCTTTTCGCGCTCTTAAACGAGCGAATTGATCGGAAAGTTTCCATTACTCGCACGCACGATGTATCAAGATGCATCATATTTTTCACGACGGCGCATTAACGCGTATGCAGCGTGATTGCAACAGAAAAAAAACAGAATTGGCATACTGCATCCCCTGAGAAATTATATTTTCAATGCCCTAAGTTCTCCGAATCCATTTCGACGTTTCGGCTTTGCGAGAAGTGAAAACGGCCAGTCGAACGTCAGGCCGATGAAACAATTCGACATGGCAATATGTGAAAAAGCGTTGTTTAAAAATTGCACTTTTTACGAAAGTGCAAAGTTGAAAAATATCGCCGCCCGTAAACACGCGTAACAAACATCATACTTTTTTTTTACATTTTTTACATTTGCTTTTGCACTGACTTTTTGACGCACGGAGCAAATTTGTAGGAGCGACACGATAGGGCCCAAATTTCGAATGTGATCGCCAATCATGTGTGCCGTGACTATTTAATCGTTTAGTGACGTAATATTTGTGCAATGTTGGAACATTTTAGGTTCCAGCTATTATAAATGAATTATTTATGCTATATTGTCGATGATGCCACACACATTACTGAACTTTATGCAATTATCATGTATTATTCTTTTTGTAGAAATAAATCATAAATTAGAACGTATCGATAAACGAGACAAAATAAAGTAAAAAAAATTTATATTGACTAGTAATTGATATTTTATCTTAAATTTCAAGTAAATTTGTGTAACCTTTTTCCAATCGTTAAATTAAAAATTCATTATTTCTTTTTGGTTCTTTCGCGAGAAGCAATATAATTCGAACTAAACTTACTTGAATTGATGTCGCATTTAATTAACAAGGCGATTTTTAATTAGCATTTGTGCAAGATACTTTACTATATATAGTAAAATTTTTATCACTAAGAAAACCACAAAAATTTCGTCTATTAATCGATCAGTTAATCAGTCGATTCTGAAAAATGTTATTAATGTTTTGTCAATCCACCGCTTAATTTAAAAAAGATTAAAATTAAACATCACAAATAAAATAGAAATGATTGTAAGCTAATTTAATTCGCCAATATGAAAATAAGCCAATTTAGGAAGCCAATATGAAAACAATAAGAAAACGAAATAATAGTTAAAAGTAAATAATTTTAGAATGATTTTGATTATAGATTATTTCTGCAGGCTGTTAAAGATATTTAACAAGTAAGCCTGAAGCAAATTTTCTATACAATATTCGAACTATGCTTACAAGTTAACTTATAAAAACGTTAATTAACGCAAACAAACTCAACAGGGGGAAGTTTTTAAGATCTTAAGACGGCCAGTTGATTAGCTCACCAGGAAGACGATGAATGTATAAAAAGATCTTTTATTCTTAACTAATTTAAAAAGTTTAATACATCTCGTGTTCAATAATAAATTTGTTGTTTTTATTAAATAAAGCTCATTTTTTCAATTAAGCGAGAAAAGAATAAAATTTATTTACTTATTCTGATTCTTTCTCTCTTTTTTCTTTTTTTTAAAGATCAATGTATAAAAATTTTTTAATTTGATCCTAAATATCTACAAATTAAGTAAAAAATCTAGAGATGCAAAAGTAATTTTAATAAAATTAAAATATTTTATGTATATTAGAAAATTAAGTTTTACTGACGTAGAAACTCTGGAAGGAATAATTTCTTTGCATATTGAAATATTTTCATGACAAATTAGCTATTCGCAAAATATAATGATGTAAAAATATATTTATTGCTACACATTTAAACAATTTTCTGTCGAAATAATCAAATTTTATAATGGCGTTGGTGCCGCTTTCTGCTGCTTTAAAATTATTAATAAATTCTTATTTTCTCTGAGAGAATTTCTAATCGTGTGTTTAGAAATTCTAAAAGTTTTAAAGATAGTTTTAGAAGTTCCAAAAGTTTGAATTGAATACAATGTACCTACAAAACACAAACGAAAGCATACTCACGTATAGCATGCGCCTTATTGCTGACGGAAGCCAGGACCATGAGCAAACCGATCGAAAGGTAGAGCGAGGAAATAGGACCGGAAGTCGCGCTAATCCTCATTCTGTCGCGGTTGCCGTACGCTGCTTCTTCGATCTTTAAAGAAACTAAAAACTGTCACTGCTTTTGCGGTCGTGAAAACTAATGACGAATAACACCAAAACGATGCTACCCCGTCGAGCAGGTGGTTGTGAATGAACGGTGGCGGCGGCGCGCGTTCCCTCTTTTACGGTAGCGGAAACCGGAGTGGCGCAGTCGGATATCGTCGTGCTGCATGTCGGGTACGCAGGCGGCGTATCCGTGGGTGGTTTGATATCTTTCAGGTGGTGGTAGCGGTGATAATCGCGACGTTGTTATCATTGTTGAACTTTGATGTCCGGATACGGAGATTGACGGGGTTATAAGTTGCGCCGGGGTATCGCACGTGCCTAAAGAAATACATCAAGGCCAATTTGGAAAAAATTTTAAGTACGCGCTGACATCGTGACACACTTATTTATAGTTTTTTGCCGAAATATCGCACGCGTCTCACAACAACATCTTAAAAAAGTCTTTGGTCAAGATTTCTTTTTCACACCGCTTCATTCAAAATCGTTACAATCATTTCTTATCGCACGATGAAACTTTTCAAGGACATTTTTATTTCTATCATAAGTTTATCGCAATTAATTTCGGTAATTTTATCGGGGAAATAATTTCTTGAATGATAATTAGACGCGTTTCACGTATTGTTTACGTTTTATGCGTGGCTTCCGCTAATTTAGCGTAATTTTATTAGAATATTGCACGAATCGCTCTTACGATACGAATTTAACTATTTGATATTTAATTAGTCGAGTCGTTCGTGCAATGAATCTTGACAAATGTGTAATTAATAATATTCGATAATTGCATTTCAAATTGTGGTCACTCTTGTTATCTCATATTGACAATCGCGTGCAAATATAACTGAAGAGCCAATGCGTGCAAGTGCTAGCATTAATTAATACTTTACGTATCAACAGTGCCGCCTACAAAACCTATTAATAAGCTTCCGGTAAAGATAAAGTATTAACTATCACATTAATTTTATCGATACTGTATATCATAATTATAATTTTTTTATTCTGCATGTAACACATGATTTATTATCTAATAGCGATAACTTATTACCACAATTCTCACAAGCTACTTTTTTGGTTCAATTCTTTCGTAAAACATAGCTCCGTTGTAATTAAGCACGAAATAATTATTCTAGTCAGTATTAGGTTTTGACGAAGCTGAGGTGTTTACAATAACTAATGAATGGCGAATAATACGTAAGCTTTTATTAAAGTATCAAGTATCAAACAGTAACAAGAACATCTGAAAATGCGAGGGACGGTGCGAAAATAATGCCTCCAATTTTTTTTTCTCAGAAAATTTAATTTCTACAACTATGGTTTTTACGTGAAGTAATATTCAGTCATTAACGAACATTCAATTATTTTTCACAAAATCACCATCATTTTCTATGCACTTTTGCCATCTTTGAATCAAGCAAACAAGTATTCCAAATTGAGATGGACTGTTCTTTCTCTCTGCCTCTCATAATCCTGGCACCTTCAGATTACGGATACGCGTGGATGTCATTTTTCCGGGATACACGTAGATGTCATACGGCGACGTGCTTAAAAAAAGTGAAGTTTGTGAACTTTTTTATGGTCGCAGCAAGAAATTTTACGGATCTGAAATATAGCGTCAAAGATTGCAAAAGTACATAAAAAATGGTGGTGACTTTGTGGAAAAATAACTGAATATTTGTTAATGACTGAAGATAACTTCATGTAGAAACCCTAGTTGTAAGAATTAAATTTTCTGAGAGAAAATTTGAAGAGAAGATTTGAATTTCTTTCGTATCGCCCCTCGTATCTATAATAATAATGTCCCGCGTTTTACACTATAATATCTGCTTATCGGAAGAATCAATCCACCTCAATGCAAGTCTTCTCAACAAGTGAAACTTTGCATATATATGCTATATATATGCTATGTTGGCGAGGAGATAAAGAAATGATAAAAATAGTATAAAAATCATTTATTTTAAAAAATCTATCTCAAATATTACAGAGTAACGTTTTGTAAAGCCGAATTTAGAACCATTTTATTAGAGTGCACCAATTATTTTTTTTAAAAAACAACTTGCTCTTTACAAATTTTATTTGTTTTTTTAATTTATTTTATATTTTTTGATGTATTTATTAAAGATTAAATAACTTTTATGACAGATTACGGATACGCGTGGTTGTCATTTCGGATTGTGAATTTTGTAGAGATATTTTAAAATATAATATTGATTTTATTGCGTTATGTATGATTATACAATGATATACTGCAGTGGAATATTGTTAATTGAAAATAATTTTACAATTTTGTAAAAATATGCATACGTGTAATATTTTATATATTTCTCATGTGTACAGATGTGTAAAACTGATGGGTTCACGAATTTCCGAGAAGTCTTAAACATTTGTCAACATTAAGGATGCATCACTGTAATATTCTTTGACTTACGATTCTAGTTTTCGCAAGTTAAATTCTTCTCCTGTGTTTAACATTGATGAATGTTTCGCGCGATACATCTCCACTGTTATAAATTTCCTCGTCTTGTGTTGTATCCGTCAAGTGATAATGATGATCAATTCGACATTAACATTCCGACCTGACACACGTGTTTGACTTTCTGCGCCGAAAACAATTAAGAGTTTCAAATCGCGATAATCTTTGAAATTGTTTCTTTTGCGATAATTTTTGTGTAAACAGAGAGTAAATCCACTGATGCCAACCTCGTTTTCTTATTGTTACAAACGAAGAAAAGTAGTTGCAAAGTAGAAACGCATTTTCAACCAAATTGCGTTCTACAAGTATGTTTAAATGAAATTGCGTCTTCTTCGAAGAAACGAAGAAACAAATATTGTCTTCTCCATCTTTTTTCTTTTTTTTAGTACATTAATCTAAAATTCTCGACCCAATAATCACGCTCTTCGTAATCAGTTTATCATGGGGATGCTTCGTTCCCTCGCTACGAAATATTAATATAATTCTATGACAAACATTATCAACGGAAGATAGAGAAATATTATCTAAAATGATCTACTTTACTGCATTTACCTTTTTAATATTATATTGATTTATATTTAATGTTACTGATTTAGAAACAAATGTCAAATTAATTATAGCATTAGTAACTTTTTTTAGAATACACTATACGATAAAATATCTTCAAAGAATTTATTAATAAAATTTAATCTTGACTTGTAGTACATCCTACGTGCATACTTTACGCGTATCTCTAGCAACGAGATTGAAATAAAATGGCAGTGACGATTTCTAAAATACGAATGATAATAAGACCGTGAAAGCGAGCTCGCGTTACAGTCGGAACAAATTTCGCTTTGAGAGAGGTTAATGGGATATTTTGCATCGATGGTTTCTAAAGATCGAATAACAACATTGTAAAAGCGAAGGTGTATTTCGATCTATTGAGGGATGTTTCAATATTTAAAACAAATTTTACTTTAAAATTAACGAAGCATTCTCTTTTTGCAGAGAAAGTAATGTAAATATTTTGATCAGAAAATAGAGCGATCGTCATATTCGCGGAATAGTCGATTGATCCAGATCGATGAACTTAATACATCGTTTGCCGCTTCATAATGAAAGATTGAAAATAGTTAAACAATGGCGAGATAATATTGAGCAAAGTTTGCGCATTGTTACAGGCGCCGTAAGAGCGCCGTGACTTACAGACGGGAACACGCTTCTAAGTTCCAGGAGCCGGAACTTACTTGTTCCGGACTATCAGTGGGAAGTGTAAACTTTTCTCGTCGAGAGAGTACTAAATCGAACCTAGATGGCCGTGTTAAAGTTCTTTTATTTTTGTATGTCTCAGTTTTTTAACTTGATACATTTCATTAAAGCGCTATACTTAAACTTATTTGACCTAATCTTGCGTTATTTTCATAAAATCTTATCATGAAACTTTGTTCCATAACTCATTTTAGATTACATTATAGCAAATAAATTACTAAATTCTATTTTTAAGATTAATCTTGCGCTAATTGGAAAACGAATCAAGCAGATGGTCGGAACAAATAAGTATAGTTATTTGAACTGCGACGACAACGTGAATTGTTCTTATCGTGAAAGGTCAAAGATAAATCTTCGTACGCTAAACGCAGATTTATTTTCGCCACACACTTTCGCTAAGTGCTTCCGTCTTCTGCGCATCGGTTCCGTCCTAAAAATCCGAAATAGAACATCTACATATAATCTCAGCGCGACGCGGTAGAGCGCGATTCCGCAATAAGATACGCGAAAAAGAGACGCGTCACAATATTAAAATTAATAATAATAATAATAATCTATCAGTAATAAATGACTTAGTATTTGCGAAAACTGCATATTGATCATAAATAAAGGCCGCATACCGATCAGATAAAAGAGCAACAAAGCGTTAATCATATCGAAAATTTAGATTATCGTCAACGGTATTAATTTCGAGATGCATATACCTAATTATCGCGATGATTATTTCTATTAAAATCAAATAACGTGCGTCTTGATTCCTGCTGTTATTTTCTCTGTGTAATTTAACAAAATGTATCAAAAAGCGAGACATCAGCATTAAACATCGATTTTTTTCTCCGCGAGTGCGATTAAATATATTTTCTATTTTGCATCGTTACTACGTTATCTCGATCTGTGCACTAGCAAGAAGCGCAACTTGTTAAAAAATTTTAATTGAAGTTAACAATGAAAATATATCGCGACGCCATAACTATACGTTTTGCGAAGGTGGTATTTTTGACAGTTTTATCGATTGCTATTGATTATTACAACGTAACGAGTATCGCTCATAGAATGTCATTTACAATACTGCCACGCGATAATTGCAACGTTCTAATTGCACAGTCAGTCAATCAAAAATGGATATATTAGGTAGTCATTCAATAACGCGATTGAATATAGACATTTTCAATGTAACGTTACAACTGATTTAGCTTATAACTGATTTATTTTGTAGCTGAATATCGTAAAATTTTATCAAATTGAGACTTTTTTTGAAGAAAACAAAAATATTCTCAATCTTTTGAATAAGTATTTCATCAAATTCAATATTTTATTCCTAATAAATGGTTACAACATTTTTACG